AGCAGGCGAGGAAAGACGCTTAAACGTAGGAACGCTTGGGAAAACGGATTAGTATCATATTTAGGGAAAGGGATAATAAACCTGTTGTTGGGATGTAACACCCAGCTAGATATTCATATTAACTTGATGCCTATAAGGCCTTTCAAATAAGATTGTGATCCAAGTTGGAAAATTAGGAAGACTTGCAAGTGGGTGTGATATTTTTTGTCATTTAATGAGCTCGCTGGCCAGAACTCGAACCCTTTTGCTAGTGTGTAAGTGTCGTCTGTTAAGGGACACTGCTGAGGAAGAAGGATAACTTTCTGCTGGTGCTGTAGCAGAAGAGGCTGGGTGAAGCGGTGGCCCTTGAGTAGAAGCTTGGTTGCTCCAGTGCAAGCCCCTGTGTCCTGCAGCCCGTGGGTGAAGGTGTGTTGGAGCCAAGAGGTAGGGTCAGGTGAGGCACAAGAGCATCTTCCCTTCTGCTCACTGCTGCAGGGCAAAACCCTCCAACCGAGGTGTAGGATGGGCAGCGAGCACTGATTGTGTTCCTGCGGCAGATGGTCGTCTTGGCCAGAGCTCTTGGACTTCCCTTCTTGCTCCTCTCCCCTCCTCAGCAGAGGAGAGGGGACCACAGTCGCACAGCACGTTCCAGCTCTCCCCAGTCCTGGGATCTTCCCACCTCATGTTGTAAGGGTGGGGAGGTCAAGGTAGTCCCACATGAAAGCGCAGGAATAAACTGCTTTTCCTTCAAAGCACATGAAGTCAGTTGGCGAACCCCAGCAGTCTGCTTCTGCAGCTAGTGAGGTGGGATGGCTTAGAGCTGCGTCGCGTTCTTCCTCTGGAGCCTGCGAACAGCAAAGCCAGTGGGAGCTGACTTCAGGGGTAGCGGGGTCTGGAGGCTGAACAGTGTCAGGCCTCTTTTCCGTGGGGAAATGATATCTTAACATAAGATGACAATATAATTCTGCAAAGCCTTTTCCTGTTGCTTGCGTTTCCGTGTTGGGGTGTGTGGTTGTTTGTTAAAGGAGGTGGCATTTGAAATACGAAGTTTGACAGCTGTGGTTAAGTCTGACATGACAGCCTGCTTTTTTCTTACTCATAGTGAGCTGAGACTTATACAGTCCCTCGGGGACTGGTGTCTACAGCAATAGGCATCTCACTCCTTCTTTAAAAATGATTTAAAATGTAATAGCTTATTATGCACTTCTCTTCTGCAGGCGAATGCTCATGCAGTGAGAATGAGATGAGTAGGATCTCTTTTGAATACTTTGTAAACAGGCTGGCAAACGGCACGAGCTCTGCAGAGTGGTCACTGCGCCAGCTGCTCCGGGAGTGCTCCTAGCTGAGAGGTGGGATGCTCCTTCTTCCCGGCATCCCTCGTGCTGCATTCTCCTTCCCACTGGATCTTGTACCCTCACCCCTTCCTTCCTAGAAAGCTTCCCTCTCATCTGCCTCCTTGGTCAGAAAGCAGGGCTCTTCCATCCCTCTGCCGCCAGGCCAAGGTGGTCTGCCACTTGGTTTCTGGCCTCTCCATTGCAGAGCGTTTCCCGAAGCGTGACGCAGATCACTAGGGCAAGTTTTAAAGCAGACAAGCATGGGTGGGCTTGCTTCCTTCCTCTTAGTTTGTCATGATATGAGGGAGCTGCAGTTGTGCATCTCAGGCTTGTTTTCTCTAAATCGTCCTAGTGCCTTGGCATACGGTGGCTGTCCCGAGGACTGTCCTCGTTCCAGCATCACTAACCCAGCCCCGTTGGGGATGGAGCTGAACTGGAAGTGATGTGCATTCAGCTGCCTTCCTTAAGCATCTCTTCCTAGCAGATCTCTTCCCCTTCCCGACCCTCCCCTAAGGCCTAAATTAATCTAGCTTTGATACAAATGGGAGCAGTCCCCACAGGTTCGGTCACGGGTAGCCTCCTGCATAGCTGAACAGCCTCAAAAGCCAGTAGTGAGAGAAATGAAAAGGCCAAAGCTATTGCTGAAGGTGTTGTGCTGGGCTGATGATTCTTAATTAATCCAGCTCAGTACATCATGCAGCAGAGGAGAGCAGGAGGTTAACAAGTAAGATGTGTTAATGTTGTGTCCTTTGGTATACGTTTATGGAACGAGTGGTTTGATGCCTTTCTGTTTTCTAACCTGGATAAAGCCCTGAGCAACTCTTTCTAGCTCTGAAGCATGCCCTGCTCTGAGCAACAGCTGGCCTGGAGATGCCCAGACGTCCCTCCCAACCCCTGTTCGGTGGTCTTTAGGGTAGCTGTTCCCACTCCTTTGCAGCTGCGGATGCGCCAGGGCCTTGCGTGGGCCCGCTGAGGGGTGAGCAGTGAAAGCAGCTTGAAGAGCGTGGCTGGGCACCCTGGCTCGGCGTTGCAGCAGGAGCAGGCTGTGCCCAAGTCCCAGGGCTGACCTGCAGGTTGTATCCTACTGTTCTAAGCTTTACAGAAGCAAAGGAATTGCAAAACTGTTTTGCTGCAGTTGCCTTGATCTTGGGTAGCAAAGCAGGGGATCTTGGCGGCTAGACCACAGCAGGCTTGAATCTTCACAGTGAAGCTGTGGCCTGACCCTAACTAACTTGGAAACTACTCTTTAGCTCCATGCGTTGTCCAATATTTCCTCTTTTCCCTTATGAGGTCAGGTCTGAGTGTGTTTGCCGTTGGCTCTCGCTGGGGTGCTGAGGAGGAGCGCTGTGGCTGGTGGCGGGGGTACGTTAGTGGTACTGTCACTGTCAAGCAGCCGCTGCTCTGCCAGGATCCCCCCTGGCTTTCACGTGGCCATCAGATGGGGGACAAGCTTGTTCTGCCATCCTGGGACCTGTCTTTAGGTAGGCTTTAAACATCATGCATGTGTGTTGCTGCAGTGCTGCTGCTCCTTCACTCCGCAAATGGGCAGTGGGGTAACTTGAAGTGTCTGCTTCTCCTGATCGCCCGCCTGGGATTGCTCGGTTGTCTGGACGCCCCAAATGAGGCTCAGCACCACCAGCTGAGGTCCTGGTGATTAATACTTATCTGTTGAGACCATCAAGCTGTATTTGGCTTGGCTATCTTTGCTTCCTTTCAGGGGAGTTGTGTTCAGGTTTCCTGTGCAGCCTGGTGTCGTGTCATCTGCAAAGCGCTGAAATAAGTCTTGTTTTACCTCAGAGCAGGTGCTCTGGATGGGGGCTGAAAGGGCACGTATTTGAGGGCACATAGGCCTCAAAACTTAGATTTCAGCGAACAGAGGATTGATTTCATAGAGCCTTATAAGCCATGGAAATGAGGCTGTTGTGTTTGCTTGTGTCTGCTTGTGGATGTTGTGCTATAAAACTTGCAGTCCGTATCCTGTCTTGTGAGATAATCCCAGTGCTTTAGGTATCCAGGAGATACTGGGACATGATAGTAGTGTTATCTTCCAGAACTGCTCATTTGTTGTTTGCAGGCAAATAAAAGCAGTACACACCGGTGGAAAGCTTGCTTTTTTCAACTTGGAACAGGTTGCCCAGAGAGGTTGTGGAGTCTCCTTCCCTGCAGATATTCCAAACCTGCCTGGACATGATCCTGTGCAATGTGCTCTAGATGGCCCTGCTTTGGGGGGGGGGGGGGGGGGCAGGATGGG